ATGCGTAGGATCCCCAGTCTCAATCTTGCATCTTCTGTTTCTCTGAACAAAGTTATATGCATCTCTTCTTAAAAAACCAACATGCTCCCTCCCACCAACTTCATCAGCTAAGTATGTGAATGCATCAATGGTTCTAATCCCAGCATCAGTCATAGATTTAAGAACAAATGCTCTCTCTTCGGTAATTTTCCTGCATGATCTCAATAAATGTTGATCTTCAGGCCTTGCCAACTCATGGTTGTGGTTCTCAACACATTTATTAACCTTCCATTCCCCATCTTGATCAACTGAAAATCTAATCATCGCGGGACACCCAGTCCTAGTATTGGCTTTCCTGTATTTCGATTTAACATTCAGGTCAAGGCCCTTCTTAAAACCAGCTTTCGAACATACATAATCTTTCATCCGTATCTTCCTCGAATTCGGCCAGAAAGAATGATGATCTTTGCGAACACTAAAACCAACACTATGCGCGTATCGACAGTACATATCAAAAGCCTCTTTCTCACTATTACAAACAACCTACGAACAACAACCAAAAAGAGTTTAACATTGGAAACAGACACACAATTTTAAAATAACTTCTGTACCTACCGGTACCTACCAGTACCGACCGATACCTACTGATACCTAGCGGTACTGACCAGTTAAAAAACGGTACTACCAACCCACCAGTACATATATTCTCACCAACACAAAATTTTTAAAACACTAAACAAGTCACGGCTTTCATTTCATATTTATCGATAATATATCAAAGTTTGGTTGGGTCTTCTGTTGCAAACCATCTCCAGCTCTAAGCTCTGGCTCTTGCGTAAAACCTTCCATCTCCGACCAGTCGTTCATCTCTTCCAGCACATTATCCATCTTCAGACCTTACGCCTCGAACCACAGAACTTACGCTCTTCTCCTGCTTTCTGAGGTTTCAGGTTGTTGTGAGAAAAAAATTTTAACTGAGGTAAAAAACACGCGCCAGCAAATATAACCCTAGCTTTAACCGTGCATTTTTTGAAGTAGTTCGGATGGTTCGTGTTATCGGGTTATCAGGTAAACAGAGCACACGCTCTCCTCAGTACGGTGGGGTCAAGGTGGGCTCCACGTGGCGCGATACTACTTGTTTGCATATACAGAACTACGTCCGCACTCCGCACCCAATAAAAGTTCCTTCTTTCTACACACTTTTCCTTAACAAACTTCATAAATTTCAGAAACCCTAAATTTCTAATTTTGAAAAATCTTGGAGAAAAAGCATGATTTCTAGGTTGTGAGCTTACCTTTCCTCTTCCCTAAGCTTTCTCCTTAACTTTCCTCCAAAGGCACATCAGAAACCACCGCCGGCCGCCGGATTCGCCAAATTCCCGCCGCCTTCTTCCCCTTCTCTCTTGTGCGCCGAACAAAAGAAGCGAAGGGATCGAATGGTTCGGTCCCTAGGCGGATGGAAGCTTAAGGGAAAGTGTGTAAATGAGAAATGACGCATGTGCCCCTTCTCCAAATATTTTTTTAAGGCTTCAAGATGGTAAGATGGAAAAAGGCTAAAAATTTACTTAAACGAACTTCGACAATTTTTTAGTTTTCAAATCGTACGAAATTAGGTATGCATTCTTTATACTATTTCGATCGAAATTTCACGTAGAATTTTATAATTTTTTTTTGCGACGAATTCCAACGACTTTGAAATTTCTCCTAATTTCATCGTGGCGCATGAAAATGCGTGCGACGCATCCATTCGAAAGTTTTTGGGTTTTACATGGACAATGGACCGAGCAGGGCATTTCTTCTCCTGTTGAAGAGCTACTACGATTACTTCTATCTTCATTCTTATAGGAGGTCTAGAGGTCCACTCAACGCCGCCCTTCTTCCTCTTCGTTCATTAATTTTAGTAAAAGGAGGCAGCAGATGCAACATGTAGGAGAATTCAAACAACGAGCTTCTTCCCTTTCAATCACCTTTATCTCTTACAGATAAAGGCGTTGCAGCTATAAACATTGGACTCTTGCTTCGGCAACGTAAAAATCTCAAAACATAGGAAATGTAGGTCTATTGGCCTTGTGGATGTGTGTATGACGTTCCCAATTAGAAACCCTACTTTAAATTTTTCTAAAAGACAAAATAATCCATATATTTGCTTTCCACTCTGTGAACTCATGAAAATTTAGTAATTTTTCACGGGTTGCTCTCACGTGAGAGCTCGTAGTGGACAGTGACATGCATCTGGTCGTTGGGATTTTGTGTTCAACGACCCTCAAATGCATAAAATAACATTCAAATTGCAATTTAAACCTTCCCGGTCAATCAAATCTTAGGCTCAACGTTGTATTTGATCACAACTTGAGTGATGACGCATATGTTTCACATTATATAACAAGCTTCACTTCATTAGTAAGTCACAAGTTATGACAAAATTCACATAAAGATATAGGAGGCTTACATTGTTTAATAGTGATTTTTTCTAATTTTGATAAATATTTTATAATGTGTTTCAATTAGTTAAGAAAACTTACAAGCAAGTAGTAGGGTCTTTCATGAATATTCGTGTTTGTATTTCAAATCTCATGATAAGTAAATTGATTGAAATTACATCTGATGTATAACTATCACCAAGGGCTTGGTTCAGATGATTATCTAAATTCATGCTCCTAAATGGGTATCGACAGAGTCAAAGGGATCATACAATATTCTTTAAACACTCAGAGTCAGGGGAGTCACAATATTATGAGTATATGTTGATGATATCAGACTGTGAAATGTATGTACTTAAATATGTTTTTTTTAATGCCACCAGGCCATGTGTTTTTTTTTTGTTGGGTTGGATGATGTGTGTTATATCTTTCAAAGTTGTGATTTTGGAAAAAAGAGTTTGATGATTTGGGCTTGTAGAGTAGAGGCTCGGAAATGCACCAATTAAATAGATACATAAGATCAATTTTTTGAGGATTGTCGACGAAAATTAATGGAGAAAATTAAGACGGATGGAAGTTGCCCAACAAGATTTTAGAAAGGCATCTTATGGAACACTTAAACAAAATTAATGGAGAATGAGTGTCAATAAACCAATTTGAATATTTAGGATGTAGAATAATATTATGACGTTTCCTTGTTTTTGCTTGTGAATTTTGTGCAGAAACTTGTACGATCTCTGCAATGTGGTCAGAATATTCCAACAATCCTGCAGTCTTTGAGTTTTGTTGCATGCCATTCCTTCAGAATATACAAGCTTCATGAAAAAGAAGTTACCGACTTCATTTTTAAGAATATTTTTGTCCCTTCAGAGGTGAATTTATGAAGCCCTTCATAATCTTGATTGATCGATAATGGAAAAAATGGTTATTCCCAACTTTTTGTTTTTTACTTTTCAAATGTATTTTGCAGCTGTATTGTGCAGTTGAGGAATCTTTCCTGAAATTGGATTGCAGCTGCAGCAGTTATTGCAAGCTGAAGGTGAGTGGCACTCCATCCCCTCGATGCATTGGATTGAAGCAATGATTTATCATTTGTTTGTTATATGCTGGTTGCATTTTTTGTCAGCCATAGCAAAAAATTTTATGGGTTCATTGTCATGTTCAGCTTCTGTTTCTCTGTATTCCTTATGTTCTTTTGTTGAACTTGTATGTTTTTCCGTTGAAAACTCTCCTTCGTTGAGAGCATGATAAAGTATATTGAAGGAGAATAATGCCTGATAAGATTTTCATATGCTACATATTAATGAGAGAGAGGTAAATACATGCCTTATCATTGCATACTTACCTAATAAGTATGAAGATCTTGTATGCATTTTCCTTCTGTTCATTAATAGTGTTCTCATATACTCATTAGTATCGCTATAATATATAGAGCTTTTATTATGCGCATGTGTAGGATGTTTTTTTGGGGAAGCGGGGTGGTGTGGTGTTTCTCATAGGTTTAAGGAGAAGTGATTTAAATTGGTACTTGAGGAGTAGAAAAGTTAGAGTGATGAGGATGTTTTTTGGGGAAGCGGGGTGGTGTGGTGTTTCTCATTGGCTTTAACAACAATTGATAAAGTTTCGACAATTCAACATAGAAATTATTAATGGCTTCTCTATCTGAAGGTCGAAATTTATAGTGCCAACTTTCGGATATCAATAGTCGTGAAGCATTTTTCTCTCTATTGAGGCTCATTTTGTTATAACTTTTGCATCTTATTATGCAGGTCATGATAACCTGCCAACCTATCTCACATGACAATACCTTTTGTTGCTTCTTTTAATTTAATATCGTTAACATCTATATTTAAAATTACTTAGCATTCATATTCTCCTATTATTAATCAATATATTTAAGTTGTGTAAACAATAAACATAGCATGTAAAAGTCAACATCTATTTACTCAAGTAAACTTTATATTCTATTAAATAGTTTTATGAATTGAGTTGATTACAGATATCTTGAACTTATTTAGTATGCGATAATATAAAAATGCTTTAGGCTTGTCAATAACATTAAGCCATGCTCAGCTTAAAGAAATATCTATATCTCCACATAATAGTTCATTGAAATTTTAGGAATTAACAAACATTAGCCCAAGAATAATTTTACTCTTTATATTAGAAATTGAGTATCTCACATTAACAATAGAATCAATCATCTTTGGGACTAATTTCTTTATTATATGTCATTGAAGCCTTACCATTCACAGACAACCTAAAAGCAATGATTTTCTTAATTCATTATAAATTCCTAAATCAATAATTCAATTTGTACAAAATAATGTCAAATCATATTTATGAATCAAAAGGATTTTTCCTCATTTAAGTCTTTAAGCCAATCAGTCGAAATCTGCAGTTGATTTTGTCATGATCCGATTGTTGATCTCTGTATAAAGAACCAAAAGGGAAGAAGGTAGAAAACATGCATACGTACCTAGTACCCGTTGGATTCACATATCCCGCCGAAAACCTCCGCAAAACTCACAAGAAATCCCGCTGAAATACTGTGTACGCGGCGCCAAATAAGACATTTCCCGCAAATCCCTCGCAGAGCATCAAATGGTGCTCTTCGACGCCTTCAAAATGACGGCCAAACAAAGCCTTATGTTCGCTCTTCTCCCGCTGAAACCACGCACAAGCTTCCTTCCTCCCTTCCCACTGCCAAGCTCAAACCGTGACCACCTCAGCTCTCGTGTCGTCCTTCCTTCGACTTCCTCTCCTGAACCCAAACCCGCGACCATATCTTCCTCTCTGACTGTCGAGCTCAAACAGAACCCGACGGGAGCTCCATCCGTTACCCAGCCTCACGACCTCTTCAATCCAGAGGGAGAGAGAAAGAGAGAGAGAGAGAGAGAGAGAGAGAGAGAGAGAGAGAGAGAGAGAGAGAGAGAGAGAGAGAGAGAGAGCTTACCTACCTTTTCTTCCCTTGCCTTGACGAAGCCTCCCCCAACCCGTCACCTTCCTCTCGCCAACCGTCGAAACCCTACAGCACCCGACATCCCTTCCTCCATACCCGCAGAGATCCCATCACTCTACCTCATCAAAGCCTCACTCAACCGAACTCCCATCTGTGATCGAGCCTCCATCCGACTTCATCCCTATCTTTGTTGACCCGACCTCTATAGCTGAGATCTCCAGGGACTCCAGGCGACCGACCAAGCCTTCCTCACCATGTACCGTACCCTGCCCTAGCCCGAAGGCATATACTCCCATTGTCGAACTCTAGCCGAAGCCCCTGCCCGATTCCTCTTTACTGTAAAAGGGTAAAAGCTTATTATTATTTTTATTATTACTATTATTTTAAGATTAATTATAATCATAGTTATAGTATTGTGATTATTATTGTGTTTTATTTTATTTTACTTTATGTTATTATTAGTAACTAATTATTACTTTAATTATTCTTAATTATAATGATCATTATCATTGCTATTATTGTAACAAAAAAAAAAGAATGAAAAGATTTCAAAAAAAGAAAGAAAGGAAGGGGAATTAGATTTTTTGTATTTTTGTGCAATTTTTTTATCTCCGCCGTCGTCGCCACCCTGCAAAGGTATAAAAATTCTTAACTCAAAAATCATTCTCTCGTGGCTTGCGATTGGCCGGCAAATCCCCTACGCGCTCACATAGCTTAGTAGAGAGGGAAGACGGCGCGACTCTTGCGACGACCTAAAAAATCCTTCCTCAATGCTAGCGGCGAGCCGACAAACCCTCCTACGCGCTCACGTAGCATAGTAGGGAGGAAAACCGGTGCAGCTCTGCGACGAGGTGGGTAATCTCCGAAGTGCTCATGTAACATGAGGGGGATAAAAAATATAATAAGTACCTCCAAACACTCATGTAGTGCAGAGGGGGGAAAGAAAATTTTGCTCTTTTAATTATGAACTCAAAAACTTTTAAACGCTCATGTAGCGGGCGGGGATAAAAAAATATATATACAGCCGCGGTGTCATTTGACACCTACCTGAAGCGCTCAAGCAGCGACGAGAGGAAGGTTGCATCTTGGTTTTTCCCCTAAATGGGGAGACGTCGGGAGGATGCTGAATTTTTCAATGGACGACAAGGGACTTGGACTTGAATTCAGACAAAGGAAAAGAGCTTTAATTCCATATGAACATTAATTGAATTTGTCAATATTGAGCTCAAATTTGGATGAGCTACATGGGAACTTAAATGAATGACAGTGGACCTAAAATTGAATTAACTTGAACTCAAACAAAAGCAAGATAGCTCGAACTCATATTGAACTTAATTGAACAACAGGAGACTCGCGAATGGAAGAGGCTCATATTGAGCCTGAACTTTATTTGATCATGTTTTGGACTTGAACCTGTGTTTTGAACTCAAAAGGATGAATGAACCCAAACCTAGGGCTGTCAAAACCGGGTCACGAGCGAGTTTGGGTCCAACCCGAAATTGGCCCGACACTGTTCAACCCGACTTGAACCCGAAACCGGTCAGTTTTCCGAACCCGAACCCGACCAGCTTCGAGTCTGGGTAAACCCGAACCCGACCCGATTCGGGTATATTTTATTAAATTTTTTTATTTAATCAATTTATTTAAATCTAAATCAAATTAAGGTAAGATTTACTTCTATTAATTTAAATTTAATCAAGATTAATTTAATTTGGCCAATAATGCTTATAATATTTTGAAATATCATTTACTTATTTCATAAAAATCCATTAAAACCCTCCTAAATTAATTCAAAACGGGTTGATTCGGTTTCCGGGTCACGCCAAACCCGACCCGGTTTTAGAAATGGGTCGAAATCCATAACCCGTACCCGACCCGGTTCGGGTTCGTGTTGACCCAAACCCGAAATTTTAGGGTCGGGTTCGGGTCGGGTTTTCGGGTCGGGTCAAATATTGACACCCCTACCCAAACCCATCTTGAACTTGATTAAAGAAATTTGGGACTAAATTTAATTGAACTCAAGAGACCACAAGGAACCTGACTTGAACAATTTGAGCAAGGACTTGAGCTTGCTAGTTGAACACTTGGACTTGATTTGAACTAAATGACATTAACTTGAACTTGGACTTAAATTCAAAAGAACAAATACATAGAACTTTGAATTTGGGTTTGAGCTTAACATGATTATTTGGGACTTGAACTTGCAAATATTTGACTTAAATCCGAGCGAACTCAATGTGACTAAATGGGATGTAGAACTTGAACTTGATGTAGGAAATATGAAGGCCTTGAACTTCTACACAAACTCATTCTAGAACTTGAAATCAAAATTGAGCCTACTTTGAACCTGCTTATGAGTTGAGTAGCATGGAACTTATTACATACAAAGGACAATAAATTGAAGAAGATAACTTGAGCTTTGAATGAGCAACAATAATCCAAATGTCATCATTGGCTGATAAGAATGTGTAATCTAAATTACAAATAAATACACAAGAATACTTTAATGAATATTGCAATTCATATGTGAGATATTTCACTGACAAGTTATAATGAAAGCTCAAGCGATAGATGATTTGGGACAACTTGCATTAACTGCTAAGACATGAGAAATGAAGTGGTGGACGATATCATCATATAGATAGGTGATAACTCACTAGCGATGGAGAATAAAGGGTTGCTCGTAACTTAAGAAAAAGAACATGCAATAAGTACATCAGTAACCTTGTGATTTATTATGTGGAGACATTAGCTTCTTTTCCCCACCCGTCCCTCCTTGGACATCGGAAGCTAGCTTCAGGCTGAGTAGCGGGAGCCACTTGTTGAGGCTGCTGCTGTGAGATGCTTTGAAGGAGGATTTCAGATAATAAATTTCTGAAATCTAGTTGTTGGAATTCAATAAAATGCTGAAGCTGGTTGTGCAGAAGAGTGGTGGAAACTGATGCAGGCTAAGTTGGTGTAACTGGGAGGGAAAGTGAAGAAAGGAGACTTAGGAGAAGAGAGGTCACATTGGGGTGAATGAAGAAAAACTTCTTTGAGGTAAACTTATAAGATTTTCATATAAATTATTATATGTT